CTCGTTCTCTCTCTCTCTCTCTCTCAAACCCCCGTACAAAAATAATTACACAAAAACACAAAATACATACAAACACAAATACATACACATAAATCACATGAAATACATCACAATTTTGACTCATAACTGACCTTTTTTTCGGCCATCCGACTTGACGATAGCCTCTGGAATAACGCACATCTCCTGCTCATAGACAGGCAGGTTGGAGCAGTTGAGGAACTCTGGCCAACTCACGTCGTATGCGTTCATCAGAGGTTCGCACCCCGCACGTGCACGCTCACACACGCCCCGGCATGGCGGTACGGCCGTGGACTTTGACGTGAGTGCACAAATAGGGACGTAGATGGAACAGAGCAGGAATAAGAGGACATCGCTGCAGTGACGATCTGGAAAAAAGAAAAAAATGATGTGGGAATGGGGAGGGATTGTTTGTTTTTTTGGGAGGGGGGGGGCAAGGGGTTAGTGGAGGGTGCATTAATATAGATCTCCTCGTATGTTACTGTTTTAAGTTACTTTCAGCTCATTGTGAGGGACTGTAAAATGGTAGCGCACATATTCGGAGAGATTCAGTAAGAACAGAATGTGATATACATACACACGAATGAAGAAGGAGGAGAAGAACAATAGTTTTAGTTTTAGGAGAGGTTTTACGGCGCTCGCAACTGCATAAGGTCATATGAGCGCCAGAAGATTAGAGGTGTTACATGAGTGTAACTAACATAACAAAAAGAAGAAGGGGAGATAAGGACGATAGATGTTTGACAGGAAAGAAGAAGCAAACCACACTAGAGCACTCGCCAGCCACCCACGGAAGGCATCAAACAAAGTATGTCGGAGTCAAAGAGTAGTCGTGGAGAGAGGTAGCCCAGTGATATCTTGGGATAAAATAGAAACAACAGACAATACGGAAAAGTAGGGGGAAAATGTAGAAGTAGAAAAGGAAACGATCGATAACATAGCCAAAGAGATGCAATGAAACAAGAACCCCAGAGTCAGAAAAGAGAAACAGGCGAAAAGAAAGGAAAGAAAAAAGGCTAGAGAAAAAAGATTAGGAATCACTGTTGTGAAGTCGCGTCAGATCTAAGGAGGATGCACTGTTGTGAATAAGCACGGTTATTATAGCTGTAGCTGACAATGATCATATGGTGTTAAAATAATAGTGAACTGACCTCGAGGGAAATAGAAGCTTTAACACACCAAACTTGTTTGAAAGAATAAGCGAAGAGTCAGTGATCCTTCCTTCCGCGATAAATATATACTGGTGGTCAATGCTGAGCCTTGAGGACTATTGATAGGCACGGACCACTGAGGGGTTTTTAAAAAATGTAATGAATGAATGAAAGGAAAAAGCTTTTTTTTCAACAACAACAAGCTTACGCCGGTTCTTCTGAGAAAATTACCTTTAATACTGCAGTGTGGTTATAAAATGTGATGAAATAAATAAATAAATAAATACACAAATACATAAATAAATGAATAAATAAATAAA